TGATAAGTTTTATTACCAGGTCACAATCATCCATTGAGATATGAATATTGGTACAGTACTCCTGAAAATGTGCAAATACTTGATGATATAGAGTATACATGAAGTCGAAATTAAAACCCCAAAGTTGAAATGTTTCAACTTGAGACAACTACATAGTAAAAATCAGTTTTGACCTTATTTTGACCCTATTTCGACCAGATCTGCAAATGGTCAAAATAGTTTCGACTTCATGTATAATCATGAGGCTGATGATTGAAAATCACAGGAACAACCTTTTCCCATTTATGTGATCTACAAAAGCTTGAAGGTGGTACCTTCATATCTTCAACAAGTTTTGCTTTTTTTTCAGCTGCAGCATATGTATAATCATCCTCTACTGGATGTTTGATTCCTTTTCCCTCTAAAAGGCAAATAAATAAATAAAAGTTAATCCACATTCCTTAGATGTATGGATTTATTGCAAAATTAATCTTACCTAATTCTAAATAATAGGTTAAAAGAATGTGAAAACATGAGTTTGCCAACACCTCAAAAAATACATCTTAAATATTTGTCATAAAAATAATTCTTACCTGATTATAGATACAAGATAAAAAGAAAATAAAGAACAAAATAATTAATTCAGAACAAAAAAATGGATGAATGGATAAAAACCACTTATTTAATTAAGAAATTAGCTAGTTTTTTATAATAACTAGAATATTTATCAGCCTTCAATGTATAACCCAACATTTACATTCAAGATCTTTACCTGTCTCTTTCTCACCATTTTTTAGTTGTCTTTTCAACCTTTCTACCTCCAACTCCAACTCTTTCACTTTCCTTTTCAAACTCTAAAAAGGATAATTTATTGAAATAAATACCCTCTCGTCATCATTTTCTTTATTTTCACTAATAAAAAAAAAAGTTTATAATTAAGTGATGATGCATGGCAATGATTGCAATAACCACCAATCTTTATACATAAACTAGAGTAATGGCAATAACCACCACCACCATCCTTATTCTTAAAACACTTACTCATTTTCTTCTCGTCTCCCAGTTTTTTGTTTTCTTCTTCTTGTTGTGGATTTTGACATTTTTAAAGAAATATTTAAAAAAAGAAGTTTGTTATTTGATCAATGCATACACATTAATTATTTATCCTATCAGTCACAGAACATTTCCCGCCGATCTATAGAAGGTTGCAAAACATAGTAAAATTTGGATGATCTGCATCATAGTAAAATTCGAATTTACATAGTAAAATTTTATAATTGAATGTCTTCACACCCCCTTGCTGTGTAGCAACCACCACCAAATTTGAGATATAATTTCTTTATCATATGTGGGTACGTATTACTTTACCGACAATCATTTTACCGACAGTCATTTTACCGACAACACACGGCGCGCCATTTTAGCA